AAATAAGGATTAGACAGGTCAAACACCATTGTAGTGCAAATAGTAAACGATTAAAAAAAAAAACAACAACAACATTTACAAAATATAGAAATGTTTGGATCCAACAGATGGACAAACATATTCCTTTCAAGTATCTCTCCTTGAAGAAAATAAAAATTAATCAGATTACTTCCAATACAAAAAAGTCTCTCTTTTTGTTCTCTCTCAGGTAAACAGGTTCAAACCTATTAGGTTGCATAGTTCTAAGATCATAAGCACCTTAACGAAATGTAACTTGGTATTCTTTTTTCCATGATCTTTCATTCTTTCCATGCTTGTTCTCAATTTTTTAATGGTGTTTGTTTTGTTTTGTCTTGTAGCAAAAGTGGTATAGAAAAAGGAAGTGTGACCACCTGCACATGATTGGTGTGTGTGTGTGTGTGTGTGTGTATGTGTGTGTGTATGCTGATATGCTGATATACACAGAGATAAGTGTCACACAGACATACCTTTTGACCTGGGTAATTGGGTAGGAAAGTGCCTGTGATGGGCCCTTTCAAACTCATGGCTTTCTAGATGCTATTTGGGTTGTTCTAGTCCACACTACTGCAGACTGGACTAGTTGATTCAAGGCTCACAAGGGAACTGCAAGGGGGGAAAGGACAATACCCCTTTTAAACAACTGATGTCATCGGTGTGATTTCAGAAGAAATGAAGGGGACACCATTTTCCCTTCCCCTCCCAATTCCTGACTCTTTCACTGCTTCATCTCTGAGCCCTGGCTAAGGATTTTTTCTCATATCTTCCTTCATCTGTTTCATCAGGTTTTGTTTTTAATTTACTTTTTTTTTGTTTTTGTTTTTGTTTTTTTTTTTGTTTTTTTTTTTTTAATTTCTATTTTTCTGGTTAACTCAGAAACCTTAAAAATTTCTTCATTTTGCCACTGTCTTCTCTGGATAACTCCTGCTCCCTTTCCCCCTGGGCTGGGCAACTCTATGAGCACCCGCACTCCTCCACGATCATGTTCTGAATGTCCTTTTTGATGATGTTTTGACCATCATCATAGTACAACATGGACATGGGTCTCAGCTTGGTGGGCACACAGCACGATTTGAGGTTGGCAAAGGGGCTGTGGCCCCGCATGCGGTAGTGGTTGATGACTGTCGAGTGGAAGGACAGCGAGGACCCAGATGTGCCAGCTATATGGCTCGGGCACTCACCCTCGCAGTAGTTGGCATGATAGCCAGAGGGAGCAATGATCCAGTCATTCCAGCCGATGTCCTTGAAACTGACAAAGAACTGTTTCTTACAGCAGATGTTGACCTTGCCGTCACACTCTAAGCCCCGCCGACGCCGGCGATGAGGGTGGTCTTCAGACTGCCGGGCCTGCAGCATGAGGAAAGGTCTGTGCGACTGCTCCTTCTCCTCATCTGCTCCCGCCCCACCTTCACCTCCACCCTTCTTTTTCCCTTCCCCCTCCTCTTCTTTCTTCTTCTTCTTGCCCAGGAGCACCAGGCTGGCGCCACTCTCCTGGCACTGCTCACAGGCAATCCGAACGTCCAGGGAGCTCTTGCCCTGGTCCAACAACCGCTGGATGCTGCTGGAGACGGGGAAGACGTGCCAGGTGCTCTTCCGAGCGTCTACCACTTTTTCAGATAGCAACAGTTCACTCCTCTCCCCCTTTAAGCCCACTTCCTCGGTCTCCTCCCCTGCGTCCAAGATGCCCTGCGGGTGCTTCTGCTGCTGGAAGAGACGGATGGTGACTTTGGTCCTGGTTCTGTTGGCCTTGGGGACTTTTAGGAAGAGCCAGACTTCTGCACGCTCCACCACTGAAAGGTCACTGCCTTCCTTGGAAATCTCGAAGTGCAGCGTCTTCCTGGCTGTGCCTAATGATGAAAGATAGCATAAGAGAAAACAGGGACATCCATTAATTCCAACATTTACATGCACCCACAAATTTCAGACAAGCAGGAGTCTTCTGTGATAGACCATCTAGAACAGGGATCAGCAAATGATAGCCCCCAAGCCGTAACTGTTTCTGTACTGCTGGCAAACGAAGAATGGTTTTTATACTTTTAAGTGGTTAAGGAAAAAGTGATACTTTGTGGCATGTGAAAATTATCTGAAATTTAAATGTTAGTGCCTGTACATAAAATTATGTTGGAGTACAGCTATGCTCATTTCTGTACATACTACCTACGGCTGCTTTTGCGCTATAAACCAGAGGTGAGTAGCTGCAACAGACTGGCTCACAAAGCCTAAACTAGTTACTCTCCAGCCCTTTGCAGAAAAAAGTTGTTGGACCCTTGCTTTAGAATGAAGAGGGCCTGAGGGTCTGTGTCTGTTGAATAATTGCTTAACCTCAGTTTCATCTTCTATAAAACGGGAATGACGTAATGACATTTGACCTGTTACCTCACAGGTTTAGGAAGATACCATGAGATAATGTAAACAAAAAGACACTGCAAGCTCTAGAAAGCTAAGGAAATATTGTTCTCAGACAAAAATGCAGCCCCTGGCCCCACCTCAGTGTGTAGGTCTGTGCGGGAGGGACACACTGAGCCAGCCTCCTCTTCCCTTGTCACAGCCTGATTCATCCCCAGTCACCTCTTTGCTGGGTCACTGCAGCAGCATTTTCTTTACTTTGCTTCTGCTTGACTGAGGCAGGCCTTCTCTCCAGCCATTTCTCCATGAAGTAGCTAAAGGAATCTTTCCCACAGGTGGATCTGATCACACCACTTTTTCTTGAAAGTCCTTTACTGACTTCCTATTGCTCTCAGTATCTAACAGAAACTGCTGGGGACTTTGGTCTGTGCGCATGCTGTTCCTACCTTGAATACCAGCTCTTGCCCTGTCCCGTTCTCTGGGGTCTAGCTACACAGTATTCCCTTGTGGCCTTGAGAACCCCACACCCCTCACCTGCAGGCAGTGACACCTGCTGTTTCTTCTGCCTTAAGTGCTCCTGCCCCCCCAAACTCCAGCATACCACCCTTAGTGCTGCCTTTAATAATGTTTCAATTTTCAGATGGTTTGGAAGACACTCTCTCTAGGAGGCTTCCCTCACATCTCCTCCACCACCATCCTCCTGCCAGCCTGGTTTAGAATGCCTAGGGTCTAAGGTCACTAGCATAGTCTAGTGTTTAGCAGAAAGTAGGCAATGACTTGATTACTTATTTAACACATGGAGGAGTCCTTAACATTGAGTTCTATTAAATTAAGAGAGCCACCTTCTACCTCTGAATCCTCCATTTTTGCCTGTGACCCATTAGACTGCAGTTTAATGAGCACCAGAATTCTATGTCAGATAGCAACCGCTGCTAATACACAGGAAATCCCCACATTGTCAGGGCAGTTGAATTTAGCAACCACTCAGTTCTAGCCTAACTCTAAAATTAGAAAGTCACCTATTTCCTTCTCTTTTCCTAAGCACCTACATGTTTAATCATGCAGCAGCATTTACTATAAAAGCAGGTATCCAAATGAGAATTTTTTGATTCATCGGTTATTTTCCCTCACTTCCATTTTCCCCACTTGGTGGCATATAGAAACATATCCTCTTTCCCATGACCACGGACCTCCTTACAACTGTCCGCTGTAGATATATCCCATGCACAAATCTGGGAACAATCTTTAGGAAGTTCATCTTAGAACTCGCAACTCCCTGGGAGGATCTCCCTGCATGGATTTCTATAGTTAACGGAAATCCAGCCATACTTATCACTCGAGGCCCTGAGATGTTTACGGTACTATAAATTTTAGGCACAGTTTCAAGTTCTCTGCAGCAGAAGGCAGGCTTTTCTGTGCATTGCGTACTGTAGATTCTGTTCTTAATTTAACACACTCTGCACACTGTGATTATGATAGTGGTAAATTCACTGAGGCAAGGGCCAAGCAGGGCTGCAGATGGATATGAAAGGTTCTCTGGCATCTTTCTATAAACGTACGAGGATGCTGGCCATGGTGATGGTGGTGGTGGTAAGGGGAGTTCCTCTGACTCCGACCTCATGTCTTTGGCAGGAATTGAAATGAATAATAAAGTTGGGTTTAAGCTTAGACAGAATACCAGAGCAGGGAGCAGTTAGAGGGAGAAGCGGTCTTATTTTAGGAAGCATGATGACTTATTTTTTCAAAATCTGAATTCCATATTCCCTTTTGCTAAGAATGGGTGGGGGTTTCGTTGTTGTTGTTTGTTTTTTGACAAAGTAAAAGGGAAGAAGATCCCAGAAGCAGAGCTTAATCATTTAAATCTAAAAAGGCAATCGGCAGTTGATTTTAAGGTGACAAGGTCCTGCCAAGGCCGTAGGAGAAGGCTGAGGGAAACCTCCCAAGACTCGGATAACTGGCCTGGAGGGTGTGCAGGTTACCTCCAGCATGGGCACATCCGCCTTGCCCCGTGGAGAATGTTAACAAGCTACCCGCTGTTTTCCCTTCTGCCTCTATGCAGGACAGCTTCTGAAATCTTAAACTGCACAGGGTGTCACTCCAAAAACAGAGAGATAGTAGCTGCTAAATTAGAGAAGCCAGAGGGCACAAGGTTGGGTTTTGTTTTTCTAGGAAAGAGTGTGAAACTGGAGTGTCTGACTAGTGCCCCAGATGGGGAGGTTCACTGGGTTTTGGGTAACTCATCCCCATGGGCTCTGCTCTGCTCTCAACCACACCTGCCAGAAGGGGTCAGGGTGAAGGTTGATGGACAGCAGTGCTGACCTGCATGCAGTGGACTTTCCACGAATAACATCCAGAGCAGACTACAGATGTTCGGGTGGGGGTGCCGAGGGAGGGATACTTGGCTGACTGGAATTAGTGACAGCCGTGTGCAAATTGCTTTTGTGGGGCTAGAGAGGCTGAGGCTACTGGCTTCCAGTCACACAGCCTACAGGACAGCCCCTCATTTCACAAGAGCAGGTTTCTGATGCATGATCTAGCCCCACCCCTTCTTCACAGGCAGCTGTACTTGGAAGCAAATGATTTAGTGTTCCTGAGAGAGGATTGTACAAAGAGAGTACTCATTAGAGGGGGCTCAATCTGTCAGGTGCTGTTATATTAGGATCAGAGAGTCGTCATAAAATGACTTTCATGCTGGTCTTGGCTGATAATTAACTGCATGGCATTGCCTGCGTATTCTGGAGGGGCACGGGCGCTGATTTATGCATCTGTTTAATTATATGAATTGAAAGACTCTGTTCCCTGTATATGCATCCACTGCCTGTGTGCTTTCTCTCTCCCCCATATTTCTGACATTTGGATTTTCCCCCTACTAATTGACATGCCTGTCGCCTCCTTCTCCTGGTGTCCATTTCTGGAACTGCTATTTGTATATTGCATGATATTTTATCAAGAAAAAAAAAACAGATCTAATTTCATGAAAATGCTGTTGCCATAATGCTCAGGAGAACAGGGGGAAGAGAGAGATTCAAGTCTTCCTAATGTCTACCTTGTATGCAGGTACATTTTACAAGTTCTATTGTATTCTGACTTATTAAGCAGTGCATATTTCTTTCTTTTACATTAGCTTTCATTGCAGAAGGGGGTGGGGAGATGAGACTGCTGGAAACTGACATGGGATTGATGTTTATCAGGGCTGCAGGCATCAGAAATATATTACAGCCCTAGAATGTCCTAGGTATGAAAAATATAATAAAAAAGGTCAATTTATTATATTCCCTTTATCTCTATATTACCTGAGAGAGATTGCAATACTGCAGTGACACTTTCAAGATGCCCCAATCCTCCAACCTCCATGCATAGCAATTTGAAAAAGGGAAGGTTGACTAAGGCTGAGATGTTCGGGATCAATTTCTATTCAGTTTGAGCTTTCACTTAAATATCTCATGCTGTAAAATCTTGAAATGAAAGCTTTCCCATAATGCGCTGTGAGCAGTTTCTGCATTAGTTTGTACAGGTGCAACCTAGGTTCCTGCACTATTACCTAGCTAGCCAGATATAGCTGGTTGCTTTGCTAACCTTTCATTACCTGCTCTCTGATAATATTCTTTTCATCCTCTGTGCTATTTTTTCTCTCTCGAGGCTTGTGAGCAAGGCTGTACCACAGCCTGCTCTGCCTGAGTAATTCACTAAGAAAGTCCCACGCAAACCCATGTGGGTGATAATATTTCATCACTTAAACCTCTATGAGCTCGGCGGACACATACCAAAGAGAGAGAAAAAGAGGTGCAGAAAAATGGGCAGAGAGAAATTTTGTACCTCTCAGGGAATACCTTTGAAATGCTGCTGGGTGGGAAGGATTGGACAGGGGAGAGGCTGTGTTAAGCTGGAAGGAAAGATACCCGGAAGGGTGTTTGTAGCACATTTTTATTTGCTTTCAGAATTTTAAAAATGTTTTGAATAAGTCAGTCACGAAGGCATGCCAAGGGTTAAGCAGCTAAGCCCCTCGTTGTTCCCTCCCCCTACACGAGGATGCAAATGCTGGGCTCATCCAGAAGTCCAGCATCTCAGATCTGTGAGTGTATGAACATTTCCAATTAAATCAGCTACACACACATGCAGTGTTTCGATTTGGTTTTGTTTTCCTCACCAGGGTCCCGCTTAAAATATGTTGCTCTTTTACATATGGGCAATAATTATGTCTCTAATGTGAATGTGGAAAGCCTTGTTGTTTATAGAACATATTTAAACTTACCATGGGGTGGGGGGTGGGGGGTGGGGGAAGCCTCCCTGTAAAAAGCGTCTGTTCCTTTAATTTTCCATTCTTCATCAAGATTTCACTGTGCCTAGATATGGTATACACAACTACCCTCATTTACAGGGTGCGTTCTCTGAAGCTCTAACTTTGCATTTGGACTGCTTCCAGGGGTTTGTGCAGAAAGCAGCAAGTGAGGTCTTAAGGTTATTCCTCCTTTGACCTATAGTAGAGGATCTTTCCTGCAGTAGAACTATAGATTTGGCCATGAATTATCTTGATTAACTTTTTTAGCTTTAATGTCCCTTCTTAGGATCCATTATTGATTTATAAATGCCAGCCACAAACATCCATCATCCATGCCTCTTCCATTAAAATGGTGATGAAAAAGGTTAAATATTTCGGGAGAAAGGGGTTTTGGTTCCTATAAGCAGCAAAAATTCTTAAGGTTCAACCCACAAAATTTCAGAGCCTTCTTCCAAAGTTCCTGAGAACTTTGGCACTTTTAATTTTGGACCTAGGAACCAGTCGAGTAGGAAGAATTCTGAACTACAGCTAGGAGATCATGTGCAAGTATTTTTTAGCAGAAGATGGGCCAAGACAAATATGTGTTTTCAAGAAAAGTGCCTGGGAAGGTATTACTGCAGTTCTTTAAATATTACAACTGACTTTCCACCCTGGCATCTCCACCACTCCCAGCCCAGTGCATCCCAACTGCACAGGCCACAGACCACTAGTAACCTCTTTTCCCATCTTTCCCCACTGTTTCTCTCCACACCCACAGTTTGGAGACAAACGCATCCTCAGAAGCTGTACACCATGTCTCCACAAGGCATTAAAGAAAGAACCACCTTTTTCCTCCCTGTTTGAAGTCACTTGTCATTTGTCCCTGGTGTAAAGTGTTGATAAGACAGGAAAACTAGGCAACAAAATCAGGGGAGATGGAAGATGTTTTTGTTACGCCCCGGGTGACCGTATTAGGGAGAGACTTGTGAGCAAATCAGTATCGCTGATGATTCATGGTCACATTTCTCCCTGCTCTGTTTTGTTTGCTTTTGAAATTTATCACTCGTCTGCCTTCCATAGAGCTCCGGAATGTTCACATGTATCACTAGAATTTCCATTTCCTCTCCTTCTGTCTCATTTAATGTATTACAGGTAGTCATGCTTCTCCCATATCATAAATTCCTAACTTTTTCTGCAGGATGAGAGGGAGCAGGAGGTAACTGATAATCACCAAGATCAGGGCGCTACAGACAGGGGCTTCCAGTAGGCACAACTGCCTTTCCCTAGAGAAACTGACAAGGAGCAAAAGTCTTTGGAACGCGCCCTCTTGTGGCCGCTCTTCTCCATTTTTCACAGAAGAGAGCCTGTAACCCATAAAGGCATCCCTAAGGGAGGGGTGATTCACAGAAAAGTCGGGAAGATGGGCATGGGATGGTGGCAGTCAGCTCCACTTAGAGATGGCTTTCTTGGGGTGGGGAAAATGGTCATCCAAGCAAGCAAGGCTTCTTCGACCCCTGTCTGGGCAGTGTCAACTTCTAACTCAAATCTTCCATTCATCGTATCACCCAGGGGGTAAACTTATGTGTTACACTCAATGACACCTAGGCTATGTGAGCACATCCATTTCTTGGTGTTTCATTTATTTTTTATTCCCCCTATTCTTTCTACAACAAGTGCTATCAATTGCTAAGCTAATTATCAGAACCCACGTACAGGTTTGACAGCATATGGAGACTCAGAGATACATTATTATTATGTGTTGATGACCAGCTACTGTCATGAGTCAACATAAAATGAAAATAAGCTGTATCAGCTAAGAAGGCCACTGAATTTAGTCATTGACATTTATAGTGATAGGTGGCCTGGCTTTACTCATTCCTTCTATCTTTCCTTGTGAAGGCCTCTGTAGTCCTTAAGGTAAACACTGATGGGTTTATACCAGCTGTGCAAAGAACACACTAGCCTTGGTGAGCAATCTTGGTCGATGTGACATACATAAAAAGAAAATCATTTTTGTTTGTTGGGATACATTTCAGAGAGCCTTAGAGTGATTCCCCGCCGTTTAGTCAATAACAACTTGCATCAGCTTTACAAAAATTGGGCACTTTTTACCTAAGCAGGATGGGACAAGCTCAATTAAAAGAGTCCCAACCACCTGAGCTTTTGCAGGCTCTCTGCTTCCCTGGCCATGGCCTGGCTTTATCCAACAATCAAGGAGAGAAAAGGCCAAAATTAAACGTAGCCTCGAATTGAAGAAAGTTGGGGTTGAAAGAGGCCGCTGTGGGTCTGCATCTGTAGCATGCTCATGGGTGACAATGTCTGGATTCTTTGCTGCATAAAATGGTTTAAAGGGAAAGAAAAATACATGCTTTTTTCTATTCTCCAAAAACTCTTGACATTCCACATAGTTGGAATGTTATTAAAGTTGAATTATTCCAAAAGCAACAAGGCATAGATCTTCGCTATTCGTGCTCATATATTCACCAAGTCATTCGGATGATAAATATCTTTTCCTGGATTAGCAAAATCGGCAGCTAAATGCTCACATGGTTTTCTTCTTGAAGAGTAGCCTGTCCATATATCAGTCATTAAATCTGTGAAATTATATTAAATCAACTTGAAGTTGATGTGTGAAATCGCTCAGAGAAAAATAATCAATTGTAATAAATGTTTTCTAAGAATCAAAAGTCAAGTTGTAAAATCAACAAGGTTTTTCCCACTACAAATCTTAAACTTGACTCAATGTGAATGTCCAATGAGTCGCTTTTTAAAAAGTCACTCATTTTCTTTCAAACTAAACACCTAACAGAGAAGTACAAAATGACAAGATGTTATACAACTGAGAGAAGACTGGCACTGAAAGGAAGACCATAGATAAGAAAGAATGTAAATGGTCAAATTTTTTCACTGCCAAATCTCTAAATGCTAAGAGAGTGATTTGCTTTACAAATCCAGTAAGTCAGAAAGAGGGGCATACTGATAGTAATAGTAATAGTTGTGCGGGTAAAATGGTCAAAGGCATAGATATACTTAGTTACATGACATGGTTAAAGCCAACTGGATAGGAGCTGCCATATATAAAGACACGAAGCAACCCTCTACACCCCTGAAATCTGTTTCACACATGCAGCCAAGTATCATAAATATTTTCTTTTTTAATCTTATCCCACCACAAAAAATTGAGAAAAAATGGCTGTCAACTTGAAAAGTTCTACCCTAGCTTTCTTCCTCAAAAAGCTTCAGAAGATAGAGTCCTAATGATCATGCCTTTTGGGGCTGGATTAAGAAACAGCTTTAGGGAAAGAAAGTAGACCTTCCCTAAGTGAGAGAGGCTGCTGGTGAGAGAGCCGAACTGGGCAGCTTGTGGGACACCAGGGCTTCTCCTGCAAGGGGAACCCATGCTGCCAGCAGGCTATCTGCACCCCCAGAAAGATGCCCAGGTCTTTCATGGTTTTCTTGAAAACAGAACATCTGAGTCAACAGGTTTTCAGGATTGGAAATTCTGAGTGTTGCCTTAATTGTTTATACTGCTGCGGCAAACTTTTAAACAAAAATGCTGGGAGTCCCTGCACATACTTTACTGGCCATATGCTCTACCAAACAAAACAATGGCATTCCTTTCAAATGGAGTTGGCAAAGGATGCAATTCTTTAGCCTGGCATTACCATGAAAGTAACACAGTATTAACACATCTGTGTGCCTGACGTGCATGGGCTTGCAGGCATGCAGAGGGATCTATGTCACTTCACTATAAAAATAGCCTGGCTCCAAGTCTATGGACCCATACTTTTGACAGGTA